TCACCTTTTTGGGCAGCTTCATGTCCAAGACAGCTTTGACTTTTTCCGGGTTAGGGTGTATGCCGTCGTGACTGATGACGTTGCCGAGGAGTATGCCAGAAGGAACACCAAAGATGCACTTCTTTGGGTTTAACTTCCACTGGAATGTGTTAAGGGCTGCAAAAGTGCGTCCCAGGTTGTCAACAAGGGTATGAGCTTCCTTGGTTTTGACAACTATATCATCAACGTAAGTCTCGACAAGGTCATCTTTTATCTCGTCTTTGAGGCAAGCTTGTATAGCGCGTTGGTAGGTAGCCCCGGCGTTCTTGAGCCCGAACGACATGGTCGTGTAGCAGTAGGCGTCGAAGGGCGTGATAAAAGATGTCTTGATCTGGTCATCCTTTTTTAGAGCGATCTGGTGATAACTAGAGTAGCAATCGAGAAAAGAAAGGAGCTCGCAACCGGCGGTTGAATCTATGACCTCGTCTATGCGAGGCAAGCCGAAGGGGTCTTTAGGGCAGTGTTTGTTGAGATCAGTGTAATCAACGCACATTCTCCATTCATTATTCTTTTTGCGTACAAGAACCGGGTTGGCTAACCACTCCGGATGATACACTTCTTTGATAAATCCGGCTGCCAAAAGCCGTGTAACGTCTACCCTAATCGCCTCCTTTTTGTCGCGAGTGAACCGTCGTAGCTTCTGCTTGATAGGTTTGGCCTTGCTGTTGACATTCAAGGAGTGCTCAATCAAGTTCCGAGGTACACCGGGCATGTCAGTAGGTTTCCATGCGAACACATCCATGTTGCTCCTCAAGAACCTGACGAGCGCGTCTTCCTATTTGGGATCCAGGTTGGCCCCGATAAGGGCCATCTTGCTGGGATCACCGTCGACCAGGCTAGATCACCTTGTGCTCCTTGGACTTGATGTTCTTGCGTGGAGCCTCGAGCTCCGGGATCTCCTGGTGGTCGATCGAGGTCTTCTTGGCGTTGAGCACGGTCTCGGCCATGCGAATAGAGAGGTTGTGAGCCTCTGCTATTTTGAAACTGTCATCTTCGCAGGTATAAGCTGCATAAACATTGCCTCGGAGGGTTAGAACTCCTTTCTCTGTAGGCATCTTGAGCACCAGATACCTGTAATGAGGTATGGCCATGAACTTGGTGAGCGACGGTCGACCAAGAATAGCATGGTAGGTGCCATCGAAGTCGGCGACCACGAAGTTGACATAGTCTGTGCGGAAGTGATCCGGGGTCCAAAACTGCACTGGTAGCGTGATCTGCTCGAGAGGTGTAGAGCTCTATCCGGGGAGAACACCCCAGAACTGTGCCTCGTATGGCTTGAGGTCCGCCTGAGCTATCTTTAGGGCGGGCGGACTGTTCTTGAACAGTATATCAATGGAGCTGCCGCCATCGATCAGTACTCTGTTGAACTAAAGTTTGTTGATACAAGGATCGAGGATCAGGGGAAAACGCCCTGGCTCAGGTATTGCGGCCCATTGGTCCTTTCTGCTGAAGGAGATTTCGCGGTGAGACCACGGAGGGAGCCGCGGATCGGTGAGGAGATTGTCGGTGTTGGCCATGTTCAAGCAAGCGTGGACGAGCAGCTTGCGTTCTCGTTTGGTCTCGATGGACACTTTGCCTCCGATGATGGTGTGCACGCGATCGGTTGGCTTGACGTACTTGTGACGGGGGTCTGCATCGTCGTCGTCGTTATCCTCGTTGCGCTGTTCCCCTGCGTCGTTAGGCTTGTCGGACGTATCCGAAGCTTGTTGATGCGTGTAGATAGACTTGAGGACGCGGCAATTCTCCATGGTATGGTTCGACTTAGGATGGAGCTGGCAGGGCCTCATCAATGCTTTGGCATAGTCGTCTTCATAGTTACGACGTCCGCCACCCTTTTTAACGGTGTTGACCTCACCGTCGTCTTCCCAAGCACGCTTGCTCCTGTAATCATCACGGCGGTTACGCCGCTGATTACGTTGGTCACGGTGGTCGCGGGAGTCGTTGCGCTGGTTGCGGCGGTCAAAATTGTCGTTCCGACCACGGTTGCCGCGGTAGTCGTCGCGGTGTGGGGGGTGGTCGGAGCGTGGAACCCTTGCTGCTTCTTCAATAATTATCTTTTTAGCGTCGTCGGCGTCCACGTATTTCTTAGCGGTGGCCAGGAGCGCTGTGACCGAATCAGGTCTTTTGCGGAGGAGCTTGTCCCTTAGGGCATCGTGGAAGCGGAGGCCAGTGATGAAAGCCTCGATTGCCTCGTTGTCGGAGATTGATGGGACCTTGATGCGCATCTCCGAGAAACGCCGGATGTACTCGCGCAGTGGCTCATCTTTTCGATCTCGAATACGTTGCAGATCGTATTTGTTGCCTGGTTGTTCACAAGTAGCAATGAAGTTATCGATGAAGGCTTGCTTGAGCTCCTGCCAAGAGTTGAAATAGTTCGCCGGCAAGCTGACCAGCCATTGGTGACCCGCATGGCCAACAGCGACTGGGAAATAGTTAGACATGACGTGCTCGTCCGCCATGGCTGATCTGCACGCAGTCTCGTAAAGCATGACCCATAATTCGGGGTTTTCCTTGCCGTCGTACTTCTAAAGTTTCTCGAGCTTGAAATTCTTGGTCCATATGACTTGGCGAAGGTGTGGAGTAAACTGCTTCAAACCCGGTGGGCCGTGGGCAGTGTCATATTTCATACAGCGATAACTTTCATGGGACGCTCGATCATCGGCTCTCTGGTTGATGCGAGTGCGCAGATCGCGTCCACCAAGGTAATGGCGGAGATCGTTATTGCCATCGCGGCGATCTCGATTGCCATCTGGATTAGCCCTGCGATCGTGGTTATCGCGGCAATTGTCGTGGTTGTCCCGGCGGCGGTTGTCGTCCTGGCCACCATCATGGCCACCGTTTCCTCCTTGACGGTTGTCTGACGGGTAGTTGTTGCGCGAGCCACGTTGGTTGGGCGGCTGTGAGCGACTTGGGTGCTGGCGGCTGTGGCTTGACTCGACCGAGACGGATGGAGCCCGAGCTTGGTTTATAATCTCCGCGGTCTGGGCCATAGCAGCTGTCAGATAGGCTTGTATTTCATCGTGAACTGCTTGGGTTTTCGGGGTGTTGGGTAGCCGTTGCATTGTTGCCATGGCGACAGCTACGTTGGCACTTGGAGTTCTGAAGACCTGTTTGTCCCCCACCCTATCGAAAGCATCGTTGAGGTCACGTGGTTGGACCCTTATGCGTCGTGCCTCCTGGTCTGCTTCGGCTTCGATTTGTCGGTGATTAAACCGGTCAATATTGCGTGCTTCGCGTGCAGTCCTTTCTTGTTCTATTTCGCCAACTGCCGGCGGTTCGTCATTGCTGACAACATGGATCAAATCCCCTCGTCTTGGCGGGAAAGACGGGAATTGTGAGAACCCCGGGGCGTGGTCTGGGATATCCAGATCGTACTTGACGCCTTCATCTTCGTGATGCTGAAGCTCGGTGTGGACAGATGCATTAGATGCGGTGCCAGATGAGGAGCTGGGGTCGCCCTCTTGGACTGTGTGAACGGATCCTTCTTGATAATCTTCAATCTGGATCATGTTGACGAAGTTGCACGGCTTCGGCTGAGGTCGGTGCATAAGACACAGATCCAAGCGGCGTTGCAGGATGTAGGCGTAGCTGGAGGCAGCGTTTCGCAGGCCGTAGGGCTGGACCTGGTAGTTCTCCATCGAGGCTTCGTACTCAGAGAGCTGGAGACCCGTCGCGAAGGCTGGTCGGCGACGAGCAGAGCGCCCTTGAGGAGTAGATGTGACCACGAGATCTATACCAAGTCGTGCAGGACGACTGGTCCGAGCTGGTCGGGTAGATCTGTTGTGGGGAGCGGTTACCTGCTCATTAGGCTGACTTTGAATTGTACTTACCAGAGCTAGGGTTTCAGCAAGCTTGGTGCCGACCCGATCGATGGAGTCGAGCAGGTCGGTGTTGTCGATCTGCTTCCCTTTGTAGCGGGGAAGCGGATGACAAGTTGTCGGCGTGGCTGAAGGTGATGCAGGCGTGGTCGGAGCCAGATGTACCGTGGTCGGAGCCAGATCCATCATGGTCGGAGTCGCATCCATCGTGGTCGGAGCCGTGTCCACCGTGGTCGGAGCCGTATCCACCGTGGTCGGAGCCGTATCCATCGTGGTCGGAGCCGTAGCCGATGTAGGTGAAACAGTGGTCGACGCAGACTGAATCCACGCCTCCTCCGGGGTCATGGCGATGAAGTCGTCAGAGCCGGTGGTCTAGGTGATTTGGCCAACGGTGAACGTGAGGCCGTTCGGCGTAGCCATGGAGCCGGAGATGATGATCATCTTGTTTGCTTGGGAAGCAGTACGCACACCACCTACCTGGCGCGCCACTGTCGACGAAATATGGTCGGCAGTCTACCTAGGGGTATACCCAAGGTAGTAGATTATCGGCAGACAGATGCGCAAGCCATAAACAAGACGGTGACGCAAGACAGACACAAGGTTTTATCCAGGTTCGGCCGCCAAGAAGGCGTAATACCTACGTCCTACATCTCATTTGTATTGCTGTATGTCAATGAGAGATGTTTTTTAGAGGGGTCCCCTGCCCGCCTTATATAGTTTGGGGGGCAGGGTTACAGACCTGGAAACTAATTCTAGCCAGTTACAATTGTCATATGTGGCCGGATAAGGATTCCTATTCTAACCGACCAGGATCTTGATTGATCGCCAAATCCGTCTTGACTCCTTGCGCGGGACTCCAATCAGGTTAACCGGGCCGCACGTCGTCTTTTGGTGGACCGGACCCACCGATCCGGGCCGGCCAAGCTTAGCCATAAGGGTATAGGGGTTAATGCCCCTGCTCTGGTTTTTTTTTTTTTAGGGAAATCTTACCTGCTCTGGTACTTGACCACTATTAATATCAATCAATCATACAGCTGATTTTCTAATGGAGCGCGCAACATGATCCCTTGGTCTTTTTAATCGGCCTCGCCACACTCTCCTGCGCACCACAAGTACTACTCCACAACCAAACCAAATGCTGCGATGACCATGGACTCGCCGCCGAGCCAACCCATGGTGCTCACCCTGATACTTGCTCTCCTCCTAGTGCTATACCTCGCGCTCCGGCGCCGCGCCGGCGGCGGCAAGAACCGGAGCTACCCGCCGGTGGCCGGCACCGTGCTCCACGAGCTGTTCAACTTCGGCCGCCTGATGGAGTACCACACGGAGCTCGCCCACAGGTACCGCACCTTCCGCATGCTCACCCCGACCTGCAGCTACATCTACACCGTGGAGCCCGCCAACGTGGAATACATCCTCAAGACCAACTTCGCCAACTACGGCAAGGGGAGCAAAGTGCACGAGGTGGGCGAGGACCTCCTCGGCGACGGCATCTTCAACGTGGACGGCGCCAAGTGGCGGCACCAGCGGAAGGTCGCCAGCCACGAGTTCTCCGCGCGGGTGCTGCGCGACTACAGCACCGGCGTGTTCCGCGACACGGCCGCGGAGCTCGCGGGCATCGTGGCCGCCGCCGCCGCCGCCGGGGAGAAGCTGGACATGCAGGACCTGCTGATGCGGTCGACGCTGGACTCCATCTTCACGGTCGGGTTCGGGGTCAGACTGGGCGTGCTCTCCGGGTCCAGCAAGGAAGGCGCCGCGTTCGCCATGGCGTTCGACGATGCCAGCGAGCAGGTGTTGCACCGCTTCTTAGACCCGTTCTGGAAGGCCAAGAGGTTCCTAAACTTCTCGTTGGAGGCGGCCATGAAGTGCTCGGTCCGCACCATCAATGACTTCGTCTACGCCGTCGTCGACAGGAAGATCGAGCAGATGGGAAGAGACCAGCAAGAATTTGTGAGCTCAGACTACATGCATGATGCATGCACGGGAGCACGAGAGGAGATTACAGTTCTGACACGGTGACATCCCTTCCCTGACAGGCCAAGAAAGAGGACATCTTGTCGAGGTTCCTGATGGAGCGGGAGAGCGATCCCGGCTGCTTCGACAACAAGTACCTGCGGGACATCATCCTCAACTTCGTGATCGCCGGCCGCGACACCACGGCGGGGACGCTGTCGTGGTTCCTCTACGTGCTCTGCCGGAACCAGCACATCCAGGACAGGGTCGCGGAGGAGGTGCGCGCCGCCACCTCGGGGGACGGCGACCTCGGCGCCCCGGAGCTCGTCGCGTGCCTGACCGACGACGCCATCAGCAAGATGCACTACCTGCACGCGGCGCTGACGGAGACCCTCCGGCTCTACCCTGCTGTGCCCATCGTGAGTTATCCGGAACTCGGCGCTTTCCTGAACACTAGTCGGTTTCGCACCACACATCGGTCGTCGGCGCATAGATTGGGTTTGGGTGGATGACTTTCGTTGGGGGATGCTGGTGTTGCAGGATGTCAAGTGCTGCTTTTCGGACGACACGTTGCCGGACGGCTACGCTGTCAACAAAGGGGACATGGTGCACTACCAGCCGTACCAAATGGGCAGGATGCAGTTCCTGTGGGGCGCCGACGCCGAGGAGTTCAGGCCGGAGAGGTGGCTCGACGACGGCGGCGTGTTCGTCCCCGAGAGCCCCTTCAAGTTCACGGCTTTCCAGGTCGGTTGTGATATTCGATCTCCTTGCCACTTGCAGTGTATTTCACCGAATGCAGGATCCAGCATGTGACGTGTTCGGTCTCTTGTCTGGTACACAGGCTGGCCCTCGCGTCTGCTTGGGAAAGGAATTCGCTTACAGGCAGATGAAGATCTTCGCGGCCGTGCTTCTCTACCTGTTCAGGTTTGAGATGTGGGATGCCAACGCCACCGTGGGTTACCGGGCCATGCTCACTCTCAAAATGGATGGCCCGCTCTATGTTCGTGCGTCGCTCCGGCGATGAGGCGGGCGGGCGGCAACGGTCAGTCGTGCGGAAGTATGCATGCGTGTGTGTACAGTGGGCACTTGGACTCTCTCCTGTGCAATCTTGTATGCAGCTGCATTTAGTGTTGTTGACACTATCATTGAGGCATCTTTCAAGTTCATGATATATGATCAGTCCCGGAACTGGTTCTCTAAACACTTGGCTTTATTATTGGGCTTGCTCTAAGTTGGTTTGCCTATACACTAGTATTGGTGTATTGACTTTGGGATTCAATAAATGTTAAGTGGGCCACTCAATGAGCTAGTATATGTTTGGGCACCCAATCAGTAGATCGCAAATCTGAATGTGTGATAACGATGGATCGTTTCCAAGCTCGTGAGATGGACTTTTGACTTCTGGAATGTAGATGATGGTTTACATGGAAGTTTACGCCTCCAGTTTTGGCTCTGTCGTGCTGTTTTCTTCAAAAATTCTTGCAATTGTGCTTCTTCTCTGTCTCATCTAAAATTCTCTAGATGGACTTTAATCCGTCAACTGTTGACACTTGCTGCCTGGCTCTTCTTAAATGCAGTAGATCTTTGCCTTTGTTTTCGGTCAAGGAGCTTATGCTATGTCCTGCAGAATTTTCAGAGACGAGGAAAGAAACTAATCGGAACAAGAATTCTTTTGACCACATGATCGTGTAAGCTCCGGTCTTCTGCAGAGTATGGAGATATTATTATTATCATTGAAAAGGATTCGCTGTCGTCGCAACTCGCAACCCCTCAGCAAAGAAGTTGATTGTTCATAAAAAAATCAAAACAACAACAACAGTTGATGCGTGATGGTTTGGTGTCTCAAATCTCAATCCATCCGATGCTTGCCCTGTCCTGTGCAGCTGCGGTGCTGCCCCATACTCACAGAAAAAACGCGAAGGTACTGTCAAATCTCAATCCAATCCGAAAGGTTCATCCATCCACCTTCCGGGAGAGCACACTCCACACCCCACACACAAGCACGCACGGCGAGCAGCGGCCGCCCACTCAGTACCGGGACACTAGAGCTCAAGCTCGGCCATGGACTCGCCACTGCTGAGCCCACCCGCTCTGCTCGCGCTGTCCCTGCTCCTCCTAGCGCTCTACATCGCGCGCCGGCGCCGCGGGGGAGGCAGGAATCGGAACTACCCGCCCGTGGCGGGCACCGTGTTCCACCAGCTGCTCAACTTCGGCCGGCTGATGGAGTACCACACGGAGCTCGCCCACAGGTACCGCACCTTCCGCATGCTCACCCCGACCTGCAACTACGTGTACACCGTCGAGCCCGCCAACGTGGAGTACATCCTGAAGACCAACTTCGCCAACTACGGCAAGGGGGTGATGACCCACGACGTGCTGGAGGACCTCCTCGGCGACGGCATCTTCAACGTGGACGGCGCCAAGTGGCGGCACCAGCGGAAGGCCGCGAGCCACGAGTTCTCCACGCGGGTGCTGCGCGACTACAGCAGCGGCGTGTTCCGTGACACGGCCACGGGGCTCGCCGGGATCGTGGCCGTGGCCGCCGGCGCCGGGGAGAGGCGGCTGGATGTCGCGGACCTGCTGATGCGGTCGACGCTGGACTCCATCTTCAAGGTCGGGTTCGGGGTCAGCCTGGGCGTGCTGTCCGGCTGCAGCGACGAGGTCGCGGCGGCGTTCGCCAGGGCGTTCGACGACGCCAGCGAGCAGCTCCTGTACCGCTTCTTCGACCTGTCCTGGAAGGTCAAAAGACTCCTCAGCATCTCGTCGGAGGCAGCAATGAAGAGATCGATCCGCACCATTGATGGATTCGTGTACGGCGTCATCGACAGGAAGATCGAGCAGATGGGCAGAGACCAACAAGAATTCGTGAGCTCTCCGCAGCAGCCTCGCCCATCTGGATGCTCGGGCGCTCGATTGGCGGCTCCGGCCCTACTTTTTTTTACTGACACGCACGGTGGTGTTTATCTTTGCCAGGCCAAGAAAGAGGACATCTTGTCAAGGTTCCGAAACCATTTGATCCAACTAATTCATCCTTACACCGTATAGAAGACTCCTGAAGCTTCTTCAGATAGATCGTCTCGTAGTTCTAGATCTCCTATCTCTTTCATCATTCTTGTACCCTTATCATAAGAATTTCAAAGCATTCAAGCAAGAAACACACATTGGATCATCTTTAAGACTAGATGTAGGGCTCCGGTCTGAACCAGTATAAATCCTTGTGTTTTTTGAATGCTACCATCGTCTTTCTAAAGCAACACGATAATCGTAAATGTTTACTAGTCCGGTTTACAAAACACCGACAGTTAGTGTACTAGATAGGGGACAATAGCACCCTCTCGATTGTTGAGCAGAAATCGATGGCCCCTCGCACCGTCGGTAGACTCGCTCATGGAATGACCCACGGTGGCCACATCCGCCACAAAAACAATGAGTTCATCGGCATCGAAGGGCCAACGCCCACATCCACCTTCGGCCGCAGTGTGGACCTCCGCCCTGGAGATCTAGACCCCACGGTCTACGACGGACGCACTCTCAGAACTGCCCTCAGCGGCAGCATCCCAGAGTACACCTACATAGGGGGCCCGTACCCTCACTCATCACCAACCATGGCCATGCCTTCTGTCTAGGAAGCCAAAAGACCATGGCTCGTGATGAACTCACCCAAGGAATGGCCTCAACCGGCCACATCCTTTTGGAAAACCACGAGGTTATACGCACTAATGGGTCAGCGCCCATCACCAACTTCTACCACGTCCAGGCCAACCATGCGGGAAGCCTAGGTCCAGTGGTAGATCCATGCCCCGAGCAGCGCCTCCACAACCAGCGGAGCGCAGCGCGTTAGGGCACGCACGAATGATGAAATCACCCACCGCCACACAGCGTCGTCGTTATTGATCAGGTGGCCACCCGGCGCCACGCCACGAAAGACCACGCCCGAAACCAGAACCCAGCCCTGGTTAGTGGACAAACCGCCCATCACGCCTTGGTGGACTATCAGCTATCACTCGGAGGCGCGTGCATTCGAGGAAGTGGGCTCCCTAAGCGCACCGTGTGCCGCGCCGAGCGGACCGAACCGCGTTGCATTCAGATCCCACTTCCACAGCAACAAGTCACGCCAGCTCCTCGTCGAGAGCGGCAACCACACCCAAAGGCGGGGATGCGACGACCGCGACATCATCGCGCCACAAAGGTTCAAGCATCAGAACGCACAAACCCTCCTGGCCAGAAGTCACAGCGGGCCGAATTCGAAGAAGTCACCCTCGGGGGCTTGCAGGCCCGCCGAGGATGTCGAACTGGCAAAGGTCGACCCAAAGCTAGCCAAGAGGTCGATCCGTGCTGGCTATGACCGTTCCAAGTGATAAAGAAGCGCCTTCACCAACTCGCGGCCCAGGGACAACAGCAACTCCATCACGAGTAGACGCTCGAGGGCTCATCGCACTCTGAGCGACAACAACCAGTCTCACAATATCTTCTGGTACATCGGTCAGTCACATCCACTTTGACCTTAGCCTCCCTACCTAAGCACATCCACATACATGTGTAGGATCACCTGTAGTCTCAGAAAACTTAGAGCCAACCAGGGAACATGATGTCCGCACATGCCACCTAAACAATGTCCAAGCCACCGAGCGATTTGGCCTGGCTTCTAGGGATAGTTCACGTAGTCACACACCCACGATCCATGACGTAGCACTACTTGTTGTCGTCCCAGTGACCCCCTCGTTTCGAGTTCTCTCTGATCGCGCTCCTAACCTTGATGAACCAGTGACCTGAGCCTTGATTTCTCGATCGCACACAAGTCTAAAAGGAAGCGAGGAACCCATTCGCTCAAGGTGGACCGAAAAGGAAATGAAGGCTCCGGCCGCTCACCCGCTTTCTTCTTGCATCGCACAAGATTTATGACCCTCCCCCGACGTCTTGCCGCGTGATCGGGTCGCACACATTTTAGCTCTATGGGCCAGCCCCTAGGCCAAAACGTGTACCCACGTGCATAGGATCGAGGGGGGTCGCGTACATTCCTAGCCTGAACTAGAAGAAAAATGAGAAAACGGCAAAAGGACAAAGCGAATGCGCCGACCGAACGCCATACACACACAAAATCCATAACGTGTTCACCGCGACAAGGACACCCGTATAACACAGGATCCTCATGCAAGGGTCATCACACACTGGAAGCCTGGGACTAGCGTCGTATGTAGATGACTGGCACTTTGCTCATAAGAACTCACACTCCACGAATGGCGGTGTCGCTCGGCCTCATGTCCATGCGAAAGCAAGGAGAGGAAGGTGGTCACACAACTCGAAGAAAAGCAAAGAAAGGTGTGATGCCACTTAGCCTATCCTATAGACACTTGGGTCATGAAAACGGGGTCGCGCTGAGCCAAACTCCACGGGTTGATCCATGGGCGGAGCTACGTGGCTACGGCATTTGAGCGATCAGACCAACGGTGGTCACGATAAGACGGCGGCACAAAAAAGAAGCAAAATCAAGGAACACGAACCGAAAGGAACTATTTTCACTTAATATTATTAAAGACCCCGAGAACACCTTAGGGCTCTTAGCCACCATAGTGGAGGATCTCCTCCACATCCACGATGGCAACAACAACGTCTGCGGCAGCGGCGAAGTCAATGACTCGCGCCGTCCGCTCCTCCTGTCCGGCGTGCTCCAGGAACCCAGGTGTCATCCGGTGGAGGTTCATCCCAGTCCGCAACTGCATGGCCACAAGGGCGACACTGGCCCCTTGCCAAATTCCTGCTAGCACCACCCACTCACAGTCCTCTGCTACGATGAACCCCCGGAGGTGAGCCACCTCCTCTTCATGGTGAGAAGCCACTAGCTGCTCCTCTAATGCTGGCAACGAGACAACACGAAGGTCAGAGGCTGTAGGCATCCATCCAGACATCAAGACAAGGGAAACCCTTACCTGTGATACGGGCCTAGGCATCGGTGGTCGCCACCTATGCAGCGGCGGTCTCACCCTCCGAGGCGATGAGAGCAACCTTAGCGGCATCAAGGTCGAGCTCGAGCCACCTCACCTCATGGGCAGCCATGGAAAACTACCGGTGACCTTCATCCGCCTCGCGGATGAGACGGCAAAACTCTCGATGGCCGTTCGGAGATGACGAAGATGAACTTGACCTCGCCACCGACGGGGCCCCGGTCAGGGCAACGCCAGCGGTGCCTCTCGAAGCAGCATGGGAGATAGCCTGAAGGAGTGCTCATGGTCAACTTAGGTCAACATCAAGCTCCAAATATCATATAAACACTCTACCCTATTCGCACAGCAAAGCTCAGAGACACGGCGGCAAGCATGTTGTTCAAGTCAGTGTTAGAGTACGAGGTCTCCAGTGGCTTGGGTGGACTCAGGAACACAAGAATCACATAGATAAGACGCAACAGTTTATCCTGGTTCGGGCCAATTCAGCCCCTACGTCTAGCAGCTGATGATCCTTATACTCAAGAGCACCCAAAATATGGGGGGTTACAACAGAGTGTAATGGAAGAAGAGTTTTGGTAGGGGGTTACCTCGGTGCTAATCCTAAGGTTTACCTTGCCACCGGTGGAGTCTCCCCCTCGTCGAAGAGGAAGGAGACGACGGGATGCGGTGGAGGAGAGGCTCTCGGTGCCCCTCTCTGGGTTGCCTTGCTGCTCGTGTAGAGCATAGGCGGATGAAACAGAATATAGTGTCTAGTGATCAAATCAGGATCCCCTCCCCTATAGGTCTGACCTTATCCCTTATATAATGAGATAGGTCGGGTATAAGGCGGTTTGGGGTTCTAGTCTATAGTCTATGTGCGCTGGAGGCTAGGAGGGTCTTGTAGCGGTGCGGCATGGACCGTCAAGGTGTCTTAGAGCCAAAGAAGCATGGGCGTCATTTGGCTGCTCTATTCTGACACTCTGTGTGTCAGGCGGTGTTAGCTTGGACTGGCCTCCCCCGGGTGAGACCTTCTGGAGTCTTCTTGGTGGCAAAGGAGGTCAGCTTCGGTGGCTGGCGTGCGGGGCCAGAAGCCCGCAAGCCCCTAGAGGCTGCGTGAAGCTTTGTCTTCTAGTGTCATGTCCCGGACGTGACCCTATCGGAGGAGCAGTTGGCAAAGGCACGCCTTGGGAGCCACACTAGGGAGCCCTCGGGCATTGATAGCCTGGGGCTTGTCTTCTTGTGCCCAGGATTGGCTGGCATCGTTAGCCAGGTAGGAGCCAAGGGCCGAGACCAAAGATGTCGTAGATTGGGAGCCCAAGGCTCGAGGGGGACCCCGAGACTCAGGCAGAAGCTACAGTCGATTCGGGCTCGGCCGGGTCTCTTTGCCAGAGGGCACGCGCGAGAGTCCTTGATGGGCATAGCACCCGAGCCCCCAGGTGATCCCAAAGGGGTCGGTTGGGGGGTCTTCTGTGTTCAGGAACCATTAGACCCGAGGCTTAACATACATGTATGTTAGGATCTCATTAGGAGCCCTCGAGCCCCTCATGGACTCACATGGCATGACGGCGACGAAGGGATGAATTCGATCTTCTAGTGACCAAACCCTCCTTGGTGGGGACGGCTTCCGCTGGCAAGAGTGTTGTGCCCTGCTTGGGGCCTTCTTCTCTAGTGTGGTGGATGGTGCTCGGCTATCGAGGCTGAGCAGAGATGGTGCTGATCCCTTCGTGAGTCCATGTTGCATGGGTCTTCGACTTGAGCTCGAGTTCAGCGAACTTGTCTGGGAGTCGCCGACTATAGGCCTAGGGGTGCCCTCTTTCTGATCGGAGCCGGCCATGGGCCGGGTGATCAAGAGCGTTGGGCTCTGGCTCGGGGCCTTCTGATCATCCAGAGCTTCATGCCCTTCTGAGGGCTACGATAACAGGTCATGATCCTCTCAAGCCAACCTTCTGGGGCCGACCCTCTGTAGCCATAGATCATGGAAGTGGGAGTGCTGGGGCCCGGACGGAGGCCCTCATTGGGCCCACTACTCAGCGGCTCTCGACCCAACTCTGGGGAGCTGGTTGGTTTTCGGGGGGTGC